CTTGGGATGACTTATTTTGGCCTCCAAGGTCCTCCAAATCCTGGTGTCTGCCCACTGTCCGTGTCCAGCTCCAGCTCCTCTCGTTGCGGGACTCCAGTCTCGGTGACCTTCCCGCACCCCCTAACCGCTCTGACACGCAGAGGTGGAGGGCGAGGGCCCCAGCAGCTCCCTCTGCCTGCCAAATCCTTCTCTTGCTTTTCAGGTGGCTGCTTTCTTCCCATCGTTCCGACCTTAGCTTAGATTCTACTGCCTCAGAGGTGACATCCCAGGCGACCCATGTGAAGTCCCCTCCCAGATGCTCTCAATCCTATTACCCTCGTCTGCTCCACCTTTGCTTTCTACGGCAGGTGTCGGCACCTGAAATTATTTTGCTGAAATAGTTGTTGGCTTGTTTGTTCAGGGCCTGTTTTCCAACCAGGGAATACACCTCATGAGACCAGGAAGCCGGCACGTCTTGCTCACAGTCACGCCCTGCGGCGAGGGCCTGATCGGAGGAAGCGTGGAGGGGAAAGCGGGGGACGCCCAACGAGAGATTTGGGGTACAGGTAATGGAAGACATGTTGGGTTTTCAAGGATAAACATACGTCAACAGGCAGATATTGGAGTGAGTGGGGGTCACATTGGAGTGAGGAATGGCCTGAGGTGGGCTGAGGGGGAATGAGGCCTGGCACCTTCAGGGACAGCTAACGTGGCTTGGCTGAAGGAAGGGTTCCTGAGAGGAAGCGGTGGGCAGTGGGGCTGAGATGGCAGGCGCAGAGCATGGCGGTGAATGAATTCACCGGCTCTGTAGTTTCACTCATCTGCTGGTTAGTTAGCTGTGTGTTAGGGGAGAAGACACAACGTGAAGAAGACACAGCTCGGGGCCTGCAGTGGGGAGTCACGGATGGCATTGAGCAGGGCAAGGACAGGGGCACCTTCCGGGGGGCGGAATGCAGCAGTGTTACAAGCACAGCCTCCGGGGACCAGGAGGCTCGGAAGGACATTCTGGCCCTGCCAGTGGCTAGCTCTGTGACCACAGCAAGCCCTAACCCCTCTGTGGTGTAATTTCCTTTCTGTGAGGATGATAATCATTGTAGCTCTTTCTCTTGGCTTTCTTGTGAGGGCTGAATTGATATTTAATATTTGTAGAATGGTGTCTGGCACTCAATACATGTTAGCTATTATTAACATGTTTATTTTTTAATAAATTTAAAAAAATTTAATTGTGTATTTATTTTTAAGAAAGAGAGAGACAGAGTGCAAACAGGGGAGGGGCAGAGAGAGGGAGACACAGAATCCGAAGCAGGCTCCAGGCTCTGAGCTGTCAGCACAGAGCCCGATAGGGGGCTCAAACTCACAAACCGTGAGATCATGACCTGAGCCGAAGTTGTTGCTCAACCGACAGAGCCACTCAGGTGCCCCCTAAATGTATTTTTTTAAGTAACTTTCACACTCAGTGTGGAGCCCAACATGGGGCTTGAACTCACAACCCTGAGATCAAGACCTGAGCTGTAACCAAGAGTCAGATGCTTAACCAACTGAGCCACCCAGGCACCCCCTATTATTAATATGTTTAAAACAACAGCTGGTACATGGTACACGTTTGCTTGTCCAATGATTGTTAGTCTTTTTGTTTTGTTTTGTAGAAAGTCACTTAGCAAGAATGTAGATAATTGCTGCAAAGGGGAGGCAATGGACACCAAAATCTATGCAGGAGGCTACTGCAATAGTTGAGGCAGAAGGGAGTGGACACAGAATAAGGTTAACACAGAGTAAACGTCAGTAAAACAGTTTGGAAATCAGAGGTGCAGAATATATTTTGGGATTTAAGGAAGTGGGTTTAGTGTTTAGGTCTGTCGAACTTAAGGTGCCTGAGGAAAGTCTCGTTTGGCTGATGTTCGGCTGAAACAACAGTGATACACCTGACACTTAGCACAGAGAAGAGAGTAAAGCAGGAAGCTTTCTACTCTGGAAGCGTGTGTGCACGTAACAAACACAGCTGAGAATTTATATCGAACCTGTCATTTACCCGTTACATCGGCAAGGGACACATGACACTATTTTAAACTTGCGTATTCTTTCACATTGCTGGCAGTAACGTGAACGTGTGCAGTCTTTTTGACAGCATTTGTCATGAGTCTAAGGGAATGCTTACACCCTCTACATCAATGCTTTCATCTTTTGGAGTTAATGCTAAATTAATGATTCAAAATGCAGACAGTGACTGTGTATGGAGCTGCTCACTACAATGTAATATGTAACAGAAAAGACGAAACCTGCAAATAGGCTCGCTCAATGATAAGAAAATGATTACCTTATGGTATGTTCACATGTTAGAGTATCTTATAGCCATTAAAGAAATCACATTCAACTGATACTTCTAATGTGGACTGATGGGTGGGAGAAAAACCCAGCAAGGACACAGAAGTATATATAGAATATGAATTCAACTGTGCTAAAAATAGGCATAGTTTAAGATTAGAAGATAATGTGTTAAGCGTCACTGTGGATTATTTCTCTTTGGGAGACTGAGGCATGGGTCACTGATTTGATGAAGTCTAGTAACTGAGTTTGAGTTAGGAGAAGGTAACAATTCTGCCTTACTTAAAATTTCTTTCCCTCTTCAAATGCATCTGCTGATATTCAGATACTAATGCAATAATCACCTTTGGCTCACAGACCACACTTTCTATTACAAATCCTGATCATGTTCTTTTCTTTTCTTTTTTTTTTTAAATGGATGTAGTCCATCAAAGCCTTGAACCCCAAATCTCATTTTCTAGTTAATATCACATCATTGTACCATTTCAAATATGCCACGAGATTATTGATGATGTTTTCCTCTCCCATAGCTTACAGACATGACCATCCACTTTCATTTAGAACGACATGATTTTTACACAAGAGATTCCCTGGGTATGTCAAAGACAAAGGATTAATACAGTGCACCATCGTTGAGAGGTATTTCATCAATAGTCCTCATGTTAGCTGAACACCCAAGCAGCAAAAAGAAAGCCATTCACCCCCAGGAGCACATCTGATAGAGAGCTGACGAATGCGAAGAATGTGCCCCGCTAGCTAGCCACCAGAATTAGGTTGCAAATATCCTAGAGCTGGAGAGGCCATGGATCCCATCATAACTTCCTTCAAGATACTAATGCTGAACAAAGCATGTTGTTTCAGGACTCCGGGAGGAGTGCTCACTTGTGCCCGCTCTCTCTCTCACACATACGTACACACACAGGCACATGTTATATCCAGCCCAGTCCCAGTCTCCAGCTTCTTTTGTTGAAGACTAACCTTGATAAAATGACTGTTTTGTTTTTAATAATAGTAGGCAACTTTTCTACTAGGTAGAAACAGATGAACGTCACTATGATTATTTTAAAGGTATATTGACCATATTTCCCCCAAGCCAAATGGAGACATATGGCCAGTAGAAGGGTACTTGCTAATGGAATTTGCCATTGTTTTTGGCTTTCCAGGACATTTATTGACACTTTAGATCAAGCTTGGGGAATTTTCCATATTAGGAATCCCAACTACCCAAGGCAGAAGCCAGAAAACGTCCTTTCTCCGCCTTGCTAATATTCTTACAGGGTACTGGTTTGCGAACAGTGCAAGCTGACAACCAGACACTGCCACATTTTGGGACTCTAATTCTCGAGTGAGGGACGCAAAGAGGCAGGCAGACATGGAGAGGGTTGTGGGATGTGGAGACCTTTGGATTCGAGGGTGATGAAGAATAATGGGGTCTCTCCTGGAAAAATCCTATAGTCTGATTTGCCCATTCGTTCCTGTGGGGAAGCCTCCAAATTCGACTCTGGTCCTAAAATGGTTCTACCTGCTTTCAGGTATGCCTTCCAGTCAATGGCTTAGTTCAACATTATTCCATGATGTTGTGGGAAAATATTTCCTGTAACAGGTGGGTTTCCTCCCATTCATATATCCACATTAAAAAAATTTTTTTTAAATGTTTATTTATTTTTGAGAGGGGGGGACAGACTGTGAGCAGGGTAGGGGCAGAGAGAGAGGGAGACACAGAATTTGAAGCAGGCTCCAGGCTCTGAGCTGTCAGCGCAGAACATGACGTGGGACTCGAACTCATGAACCACAAGATCATGACATGAGCCGATGTTGGACGCTTAACTGAGCCACCAGGTGCCCCTTATTTGTCCTGTCCATGTTTAAAGATTTCTGCATCCAATACCCATAGTTTAATCAGGAAATATACAATAAATGCCGAGCATATTCATATAATAGAATTCAATACACCAGTCAAGATGGAAGAAACTAGTTATATGTAACAACATGGACAACTCTCACAGACATAAAATTCAATGGAAGGAGCCAGGCCCAACGTGTACATACTACGAGGCCATTTAGAGAAAGTTAAAACTATAGGCCAAAGCAAACCAGGGTGTTATTCGTGAAGATAAGACACTGGTGAGGTACAAGTCTGGCCGCATCTCCTGGGTAGGTGGTGGATACAGGAGAGTGTTACTCTGTGTAAACTCTTACACTAATGATTTGTGCACTTTTCTGTGTGTACCTTATACTCCAATGTTTTCCCCCCTTGATTTATGGGTCATTAAAAAAATTCCCCATCTCCTCTCAATATTCAATCCAGCACATTGCTGATGGTTTTATAAAGCTCTTTATTACATACTGATAGACCTCACCGTTTTGGTTTTTTTTTTAATGTTTGAAGGATAAAATACCAACACATGGGGCACTCTAAACAGAGTCTATACCTAAGGACTGCATTTCAGGATATTCAAAAGAAACCGAAGATCACCTTGACAAGGTTTACTGTGCCACAGAATCCTCTTCAGGGGGAAGATGTCAATCTGGCAAGTGTTCAGAAGGCTTGCTTGCCTTCCCCCAATTCCCTTTCCTTACTGCACAGGGGTCCCCAAACCATCTTCTGACAAACTCTGGCTTTTTTCAAAGCCCTGTGCACGAAGTCTCATTTTCAACTTCACAAATAAAAATGAAAGTGAGATAAAAACTTTTTTTTTAAAAAAAAAGGTAGATTCCCACCACCAAATGCAACTCAGCTCTCCAGGAGGTTACGAGTGATTAGAAAACAAAAGGAAAGGAATGAAGACATCATGGAGAATCACTGAGAAGACAAAGGCAGCCAGAACTATCTTATTTATTATAAAGATACACCATGAAGAACAGACCTGACTGTATATTGGAGCCTGGAATGGTACATGCCAAAATGTACAGTACTATACATAAAAGTGCATTGTCACAACAGATTAACAAAACATTTCTTTTCTTCCAGAACTGTAAAAGCATCCCCACCCCCAAATTTCCACCTCAGAGCCAAGGGACTGTAACGGAGGCAGGACAGATTACAGGTGACGTGGGCAGCGGCAGCTCCAGAGACAGAGGGAGGGAGGACACAGGGACACTGCGGGCGGGAAAGGCACAGTCACGGCTACCAGCATAAAAACGAGACAATCGGACGATGGACAAGGATGCGAGACGGTACGATACTGAGCATCGAGGCACAGGATGGGACACAGAGAAGCAGGGAGAGCGTGGAGAGGTTTGCGCTCAAGTGGGCGGAAGGAATTGGGGCACGGGGGGCCGGGAGCAGGAGTGGAGGGGTGGACGGGGCGACAGTAAAGAGCAAGGCTAAAACTCCTCTAAAATAGAAAGGCACTTTCACATGTACATACTACAGATGTACATTGACACGATTAGGTAACAGTCACAAGCAGGAAGCTACCAGTACTGCAGTTGATCAAACCGACAGGAAAGGACAATACTGATTTAATTACGTGGACAGGAGTTACCCTTAAGTCCATAGGTAAAATTTAGCAGTCTCTCCTGTTACACAGCCACTTACTATACTTTTTAAACATCTATAATAACCATCACACTACACACTGAACTTGGATGAATGCTCTAAAGGGGGCATTCACGAATGCACGGTTTATATATTTTCTTTTACTAAACGGTTTCTAAGATAAGCATTATGGAACCCAGTACAATTATTTAAACATACAAAAGTCCCTATGTAATTTAAAGATACAGGTACCCATCTCGATTATACCACATAGACTATTTTTTAAAGAAAGTATACTAGGGTAAGTGAAAGCTTGATTTCCAGTTTGTTTTACTGCTCTGAATAAAGCGGTGCCAAAGTCACCCTGAACCAAGCCTGCCGCCCCAGCCCAGCTGGAGGGTTGGTTTGCAGCTCAGGAGACCGTCTGGAGTGGGAGCTCTACCGCACACATGGCTGAGCCTCTGCGTCTCAGCTGCTCGGGTGCTAGAGCCTAAGTGGGGGGCAACTCCGAGCAGGACTCCGTCCCAAGTGCTTTTCCTGCATTTATGGCATCTCACTACCGTGGTCAGGAAGAGAACAAATGTGATCCCAAATCTGAAGTCTTCTAAATTCTCAACAGGCCTATGGGCTCTTTACTTTTTTTTTTTTTTTAATTTTATTTAAATTCCAGTTGGTTAACATACAGTGTGGGCGCTTCAAATTTGAGAGGCTGCAATTATCACATTAAAGTTTCTTCGTTTTATAGACCGTGTGTCATTCCCAAATGCTGAGGAGACCACTATCCTTCCCACTCTTATCTTTTCCTTAAATTATAAGCCCATTTTGGGAAGGCAAGAGCACAAAGAAAACTCGATTGCTACGTGAGCTGCTCTCTCTATCCACTGAGAGCTGTTCGTCATTCCTGCAGTAGATTAAGTGGGAGCCTGCAGTAAATTACTCTATGGATGGCTCAAGGGGCACCAAAGTCAGACCGTTGTGTGAAAATGTGCAAAACTGTCGAACAATAGCATCGACCCTGAATGTGAATACAGAGCTCTGCAAAGGGCCACTGGACTGGTTCAAATAATTTACAGAACAAGCATCAGAAAATGTGTACCGAATACCTTTCTCTCCTAACAATCCTCTCCTAATATCCCTCACCCAAACCCAAAAGGTCAGCTTGTAAACCTACTTAGTGAGTTCTGTGGATGGGACACGAACAGAGTTACATCAGCTGTGTATATTCTTGTGTCAGTGGAGTCTGGTCATCTTTGTAGAACTATCATTTGCCCATCATCAAAATGACCCCTTTGCCAAACAGTGCATGAAGAATAATATGATCCTTGAACGTGGGGGCACAGCATCTCAAGGATTCTTCCTTTCCTCCCCATCCCTTGCATGCTTCCTCCTCCCCACCAGACGAGTGGCTGCAGAAAAGGCCATGCATCAGGTGAAGCCTTGCAGCCGCGGAAGCTTTTAATGAGCTTCCAGAGTGTCATTCTGGATCTTTGGCAAGGGGCCACCTTGCCTTCTCCCTGGAATCTGAAGACTTTTACTAAAACAAAGTAAGAATAGGTGAGTCCTTAATCACCGTGAGGTCATGTCCTTCCTTGGAATTGGAACAAATAAAAAAGATGAAAAAAAAAAAAAAAAAAGAAAGAAGGCCTCAAGGTGTCACAGGAGTATAGGGAGAAAAGAGAGAGATGGGTAAGGCAGTGGTGGGGAAGCATTAGAAGTTTCCTGTAGAAGGCACAGCCTCTGAGGCTCTGAGGGCCCAGAGCAGCTACCTAAGGGAGCAGAATCCTAATGCGGTGGTTGGAGAGGCAACCCTCATTTCAGAAGTGTAAACACTGAAAAGGGGACCCAGGACAGGCCTGCCAGGGAGAAACCTGGAGACATGAACTTGTAGGAGTAAGATTGAAGTTAAAACTTGTAGAAGATACCCATCTCCCCTAATTAATCCAACATGCCTTTGGCCTTTTGATACCCTCTGTTTACATCTTACTCTTACAACAGAGATGGGAAAACAGTTTTTAACAATCCCTTTTGTTTCGATTTCTAAAAGATTTAAAGTCTCCTCCTCCTCCATTACTTCCTTCCACCTTTATTCTCGGTTTCTGTCTCCCCATCTAGCAACAGAGAATTAGAAACCCAAGTGGACCCTGGGAGGAACTGGGAGATTAGTTAGCAAGGTTTCAATTTCCTAGGATTTGGGAAAGTTGTTTAGAAGGGTCAGTGGTACTCAGAGCTCAATCCTGGCTGAGTGTCCATGGTGTCTAACGTTGATGAAGGACCACTAAAGCTCAAGGGAAAAGGCAGAGGCTTGGACAAGATGCTGAGTCGGGCATTGTTTTCACAATGGGCAAAACGGTTGCTTCAGAAACCTCAAAGATTTAAAAGCTTACCATACCTGGATACTTGGGAAAAAAATTCTCTATTCAATCCATTAGTGAAATTGCGCCACTGGCTGGCAACCAGAAGTGTGACTTTGAAAGGTAACCCTATGTCATTAATTTAATCTCTCTTTGCATTACAACGATTAGACTGGCAAACTGGGGGAGAGATCCCAGGAATGATGTTCATGTTTTTAGTACAGAGCCTCATTCTTTCCTGCATGAGGCCTTCACCAGCGGGCTAACAGATTCCAGTCCATACTGTGCAACTCTCAGATGGGCAGGCAAATGGCTGCCAGTATGAAACCAAAGCTAGGAGGAAATCAATGGTGGTTGAGAGGGGTTAGTTCTGGGCCATCCATTTTTCTTAAAAAAAAAAAAAAAAAGTCTCTATCAGTAAGTTAGGTCAGAGCAGGTAACATGCTCGTAGGTTTACAGACGATATAAGCTGCTACTGGTGGGATTGGTGATTTGTACCTTAGTAAAAACAACTGAATTCAAAGCAACCTTTTTAAGACAGAGGGAAAACACAGGGAGAATGGTTCCTGTGCCAGGATGTCAGAGAAAGAGGGTATCTCACAGAGTTCCCCTGACTACCTGGGTTATGTTGAGACCACCTGAAAAGAAGAGAAGATGAAAAGAAAAGAGAAGAAGAGAAGAGAAGAGAAGAGAAGAGAAGAGAAGAGAAGAGAAGAAAAAATTATGGTTCCAGGGTACAAAAGTGCAAGGAAATCCTGGAGCCAGGTGACCCCCACCCCTTGGCCAGCTCGGCTCTTACTCCAGTACCACAGCCAGTCCTCAGTTGGCCCAAAGAGGCAAATGGGAGAGGAGAGCTGAGAAGTTGCCTTACGATCATCCAGCCTCTGTATTGGGTTTAAAGGAGCCGAGGTCATTGAGTCAGGAGAGAAGGCTGAGTGAACCAAGGCCCTGCGTGCTGCCCACGTTCTCCATTTCAGAGGAGAACACAGGGGCTTAGCGGGGCTAGAAGCATTTTCTAGGCCATTCATAACAGACCTTGGAAGGAATTTGTGGAGGAGTGTATGCAGGAAGTCTTTATAATTAGACTGTTCTAGTCCTTTGTGAACGCAGGGGACGGACCTGGGAGTCTTCGGGGGCCCGATCAGGCTTGTGGAAGGAGTCCCATCGATGGCTCTGGACAATCAGCTCTCTCTCCTTTTCTAGGTTCAGTTCAAGAAGTAACTGCAGAGGGTCTGACCCCCTCCTCTGAGCTTTTCACCCAGACCCAGGGAAACGACTCGTATGAAAGACGCAACCATGTGGTGGGGCGAGAGCCCACCTGGGGACGTCCCACCACGACAACGCCGAGGCCGCTGTCAGCTACCCAGCAGTGCCGATGCCACTTCTCAGCCATCCCCCCAGGAGCCACAGACCAGCGCTGGCTGGACTCCATGGCCTGGGACTCAGATTCTTGTGCCTTCAGATCCAGACATTTCGGACTCACCCAGGCAACACTAAACCTGAAGCGCCTAGTGATGCGGAGAGCAGAGTGGTGTGGCCTTCGTGGCAAATGGCGCAGCATTGGATTTTCAAGTAAATCTAAGTGTTTCTGTTGTCTTTAAGACGACATGAGAGATGTCCAGTTACTAAGAAAAAAGGAAAAAAATTACAAAATACAAATGCCCGTGTTAATTTAGCTAGTCTCCGACATTACATTCAAGAACATAGAAAAGCCAAAAATCTCCAGTTATAAGCACAAAACTAAGGAAAGTTATAGATCACTGACTTTTGTCACTGATCCGTTTTTTGTTTTTCATCACTGCCCCACACGACCTTGCTCATGTGGAGTTTACATTGTGCAGGACTTGTCTGCTGGACCTTGGGAAGGTGGGGCCGGGCCCACGGTAGGGTTTGTTTTTGGAAGAACGGCAGGCTTTGGCCGCAGGGCTGGGGGCTTCAGCTGCACGCCCATCCTGGGCGCCACCAGCGGCTTGAAAGTACTCATTGTGTCGCTGGAGGAGCTCGTGCTACGTCGAATCTGAGGCTCTGAGCTCCTGAAGGCAACGTTGTGCAAAGGGCTGAGAGATTCTGTGGAAGTGGCGGGGGTGGGCACGTTCTTCACTTGTTCCAAGGTATCCAGCACCACGTCGGGGGCATGCTTCGCTGTGCTCTGTCTCTCCAGTTCTCGGAGTTCATTCAAAGCAGTGTTCATCGTCTCTTCGATGTCCTGTTGACAAATCACCAGAAAGGCAGAACAGACTGATAAGTGCGTACTAATGTACAGAAGCCCGTACATGTCATCTCGAAGCAGACAAGCCAGCAAAAGTAATTGTGTTTTAACGTCACAGTCGGTAGAAGTGTGCGCCTACTGATGGCATCTCACATGCCAGGTCAGACTCTGCACGTTCAGGAGACCAAGACGCAACGGTGCCTCCAGGTGTCTATCAGCCATCTGCCATTCTAAGGTGCCAGGTAGCCTTCTGGTGATATCCACCTCATATGCTGACTTGTGATACAGAATCCTATTCCAGCTATGGTAAAAGATAGCTTCAATTTAGATACCGCTATGGTTTCTCAAGAGATACACGGGAATAAGACTGAAAAGCAGGCTTCTTTCATTTATTTAACAAATAATTTTGGCCACTTACTATGTACTTGGCTAACTCCTAGTGGTTCCTCAAAATTGAGCTTAAGCCTTCCCCTGATGCTCCTGTCCGGTGGTCTCACTGGAAGAGGTCCTGCCCTCAGGAGGGCATTCTGTGATATGGTGTGTGTGTTTCAATGTCACAATAATGGGGTGGCATTACTGGCATTTGGTGGGCAGGGGTCATGCATATTAGATATCTTGCAGTGTCTCTGATAGTTTCTGTGCAATGAATTGTCCTGTATCTTGTTTGTTGTTGTTTTTTTTTTTTTAATTTGAGAGAGACACCATGACAAGGGGAGAGGGGCAGAGGGAGAGAGAATCCTAGGCAGGCTCCACGCTCAGCACGGACCCCAATGTGGGCTCAATCCTACAACCCTAGGATTCTGACCTGAGTTGAAATTGAGTTGGACACTCAGCCAACTGAGCCACCCAGGCACCCCTTGTTCCACTTTTGAATATCCTTCAGACATTTATGTAGGTGAAAATCCTGTTTACGATAACCAGAGCACAGGTCCTAACTGTCTCTTATATCAATATGCATTTTTAAAAATATTTATGTATTTTGAGAGAGAAAGAGTGCAAGCTAGGGAGAGAGAGAGAAACCCAAGCAGGCTCTACGTTGTCAGCACAGAGCCCAATGGAAGGCTCAATCCCACGAACTGTGAGATCATGACCTGAGCCAAAATCAAGAGTCAGATGTGAACACACTGAGCCTCCCAGGTGCACCCATCAAAACGCATTTTTAATTGTATTTATGGTGATTATATACATAGATGAAAGCATCTTACTACACTGTCTTCTAGTGTAGTCAAGCATGAACTGAAATACACTTAATTGTTTTAATATTTATTTCCTTGTATTTTTTCTCTATGTTATATTTAGAGCATCATAGGTTTTTTTCAAATTAGGTATATCATCTATCAATTTACTTCAGATGATAAAGGGGGAATTATAAAATATATGTTTCAAAAAAGTAGAGCATATTCCATCGATGGATGAATACATAAGCAAAACATGGTATATATATCAGTTGAATATTATTCAGCCTTAAAGAGGATGGGAATCTTGCCACACGCTACAATATGGATGAACTTTGAGGACATTATGTTAAATGAAATAAGAGGCCAGTCACAAGAAGACAAATGAGGTATGATTCATTTATATGAAGAAGTCCCACATTCACAGCCGCAGAAAGTAGAATGGTCATAGGCAGGGACTGAGTGTGAGGAGAAAAGGGGAAGTTGTTCCTCAGTGGGTATAGGTTTCCAGTTTTCTAAGATGAAAAAGTTCTGGAGATTTGTTTCATAAAATGTGAATACAGTTTACTGAACTCTACAGTTAAAAATGGTTAAGATGGACAATTTCTCATTATGAGTTTTTTCATACAGCGTTGTGTGAGCCAGACAGGCGGGCTGAAGTAGCACTGCCCTGGTCTAACATGTCTCTCCTCTTCCAGGGCTGCTTTGTTAAAAATTTTTTTTAATGTTTTATTTATTTTTGAAAGAGAGAGAAAGAGAGAGCTAGCACATGCGTGCATGCAAGCAATTGAGGGAGGAACAGAGAGGAGATGCAGAATCCAAAGCAGGCTCCAGGCTCTGAGCTGTCAACACAAAGACCGACATGGGACTCGAACTCACAAACCGGGAGATCGTGACCTGAGCTGAAGTCAGCAGCTCAACGGACTGAGTCACCCAGGCGCCCCTCCCAGGGCTTCTGTCGCTCACCTGGAGCCTAACCCTTATGGCGCTGCATAATGGTAACTGATTTCCATACCTGTCTCCCTCCCAGGCTTGTTGGCACCTTCAGAAAGCAGCTGGTTATTGATTTAACGTTGCTCGTATAAAGCCTAGCATAGGACCTGACACACAGTAAGTGCTCAATAAAGGTTTGCTAAATAGATATGATGACCACATATGGATATTGTTGTTTTTAAATAAGCCCCACCAGGGACTCCGCTGATTTGTTTAAGAAGAAAATCTGCATGTTTTCGGTATGAACACCATGATGGCGGGCTTACTTATCCTCACGGGAAAATCTGAAGATGAGATGGAAAGAGAAATAAAGGACACAGCTGGAGGCCATTTTGTGAGGATGACATCACTTTCCAAGTGATTGTTTTCATATGTGATTTCTATTTGAGGCTGAACATATGGATTTTTTTTTTTTTTTTTTTTTGACACAAGTATTTGCCCCAGAGAGATGGTGCAGAGCCTGGTTTATCTGTTGAGTTTTGTTTTGATGATTTACAATGAAAGGATTTCCTGGTTCTAGAAGCAAAAGGGTTAAACAGACCTTGTTATGCCTTCCCATCCCCAAGCACCTAATTCCCTGTCTCTCTAACCTACATCCTGTTTCACCTGTTTATTATAAGCAGTGATGTTATGGATTTCTCAAATCGTTAAATTCAGCTGTAATCAAATATCACTGGTTCTGTATAGGTCTCAATGGACCCTGTATGGTACTTCAAACAGAGAAAAACCAAAAGGTCAAGTCTTTTTGATTTTTACTGAGAAACTGTTGTACATTTAAAATTGGTTTAATTTTTAAAAAAACACATTAAACTCCTCACAATCTAATTTACATCCAAAATTTTCTTTAGTTAGGACAGTGAAAATAGCTTGGAAATTTGTCACATCAGTACCCAGGTCTCCTTGGGTACTCTTGATTTAAAAAAATCCATTTTTAATACTTCCCCATGTTTGTTACATTTTTTGTCTCATTCACTCTCTTTTTTGATTAATTTAGTTTGTCTTTAAGCTTCAGAAAGCTGGAAGATACTTTAGATTAAAATGGCAAATCCTGAATCTATTCACCTGTTTTGTCATTAGTGATAACCATATTTTCTGATGGCCTGTGCTGGAGAAAAAAAGCACTAGAGGAAAAATGGCAGAATGATGGAAATCCATTAATTTTGTTTTACCCTCACTTTGTCAATTCTAATAATGAAAAAACCCTACAAAGTCCTCGGTACTAACTGTTGAAAAGTCAAGAGTGACTCAGGATTGAGACGTGCTGTTCTTCAAACAGCTAACCATTATTTCCCCTGTTATTTATTGACGAATCCATCGTTTCTCTTAAGTTGGAAGGGTCATGTTTATCATACACTAACATTTATCTGTTTCTGGGCTCTCCATTCTTTTTATCAATTTGTCTATCTTATTCTCTTTGGCATGCATTCAGGATCTGGTAGGGCTGGTCCTTCTTCATTATTATTCTTTTTCAGACTTTTCTGACGCCCTGGCCCTACATTTCTGCCATGTTTCTCTTTAAATCAATATGAACCTAATCACTTGGGTCCTTCTAGTAACCAATGGTTCTTCTACAGACACCCTGAGACAGGCTTTAAAGAAGGAGCTCACTTCTTTGGTTTTCTTTAGCTGTTCTCTACAAAACACCATGGCTACAAAAAGTACATCCTGCATACCTCCTTTATCACACCCCAGGTACACAGCATGCGCCACTCCATTAAATCCATCCTACCTGAGCGATCGTCTCTGGGTCCAATGGCTTATGGTCATTGAAGCCTGTGTATTGCCCTGATGACGTGGACCTTCTAATAGGAGGACTGTCGATCTTCTTGAGGGAGTCATGTCGGCTGATATTGGTCAGGCTCCCATGGCCTGGTCGGCGTCTCCTCTCAGGACTGTCATTGTTGAGGCCACGGTTCTGCAGCAGGCCCCGGGGGTGACTGCCCAAGTTTGGGGACCCCAGGTCAATAGAGGAGTTGGAAAGAGCATGTGGGGGGTGGAGGGGACAATGGCCATCACTGGTCCTGCCAGGACGCCTTAGTGGAGGGGGTGGCTCTCCTCTTTTTCTTTGTCTAGACACAAACAAAAAGAGAGAGAAAATAGGAGAGCTTATCACACTGGATGATACTGCGAAGCCGCTGGTTCTTTGGCTCTTCAAAGCCCTTGGGAAAGTGGAGGTTCAGCAGTTTGATGATCAGATTCCACCTACCTGGCTAAATAGCCATCAGAGTGACGGTCTGTTGGGGAGCTCATGTCCTTGGATGAAGACTTGTCTTCAGTGACTGGCCCACTGCTGGCCTCGCTGTCAGCTTTTTGGCTCAGAGTGTCTGAAAACGTATCATCCCTGAAACAATGAGAATCAGGAGTGAGGGTCTTTGGGTAGATGAATGGGAACAAAAACATAAGGGATGGCATTTCCCTATTATAAGTCTTTCTCTCTTACCAACATGACTTTTTCATCATAAAAATAATATAATTTCATTGGTAAACTGTAAGATTCAGATATACAAAAAATAGCAGTATCACAATCACCCATAATAGGACATAATGAGCAGACACAACTACTGCTAGAATTTTAGAAAATATCCTTCTGTACTTTTTATCTATGCCTGGATACACATCTATGATGTCTGCATATATATGTATGGTATTTATACCACAGTTACTTATATGTTTATGTGACTTAGATACAGATCACTGCATGTCTGTACAGAGTGCACTTAATATTTCTTGGATTCCGAGATACACATTTTAACATTTCTAAAATTAGGCTGAATGATTTAATCACAATATGCATTGCATGTAGTATATTTCTCTTTCCCTTGAAAAACTGCTCTTAAATTGCTGCACTGGGAAATATACTCACGAAACAGAGATTATACTGTACATATAGTTTTGCAACCTGTTTCTTTCACTTAATAGGTTATGAGCGTCTTCTCATCTCTTTAAATATTTTTAAATTATAGCAATATTAAGGTGTGCCTGGGTGACTCAGTCAGTTAAGCGTCTGACTCTTGATTTTGGCTCAGGTCATGATGTCGTGGTTCGTGAGTTCAAGCCTTGCATTAGGCTCTGTGCAGAGCCTGCTTGCAATTCTCTCTCTCTCTCTTTTCCGCCCCCCTCCAAATAAATGAATAAACTTAAAAATAATTATAGCAGGGGTGCCAAGGTGGCTCAGTTGGTCAGCTCAGGTCATGACTTCATGGTTCCCAAGATCAAGCCTCATGTCAGACTCTGTGCTGACAGCCTGAAGCCTGCTTGGGGTTCATTCTCCCTCTCTCTTCTCCACTTGCACTCTTTCTCCTTCAAAATAAATAAACAAACATTAAAAAATTACAGCAATATTAAAAAAAGAAGAAGAAGAAGAAGGCTGGAGATAATTCTCTTTAGACTTTAGGTCAGTATCTTCCCTCTGGGGAATCTGAATTAAAGCAGTGGTGAGACAGCAAGAGACAAGTGCCTCTGGTTTTGGAACCAGCAGTGTTACTACAGCTCTTAAAGCTATTCTCTGCAAGGATGATCCTTCTAAGAGGCTGAAAGCTCCCAAATGCATCTCTCCCTAGCCCTTGCTCCAGATCACCTGGCGGTGTTTGCGAAATGATAACCTGCCGGCCCCAAAGTACCGTTCGCAAAGACCCAATATCAAGGCGAAGAACTGTGCCCGGCTCAGAGGTCTGGGCTCTGCGATTCCTTCTGCTCTGTTCCCGAAAGACCAAGGTCAGTTTGAGGACAGTGGCTGGAATCTTCTGATGGGGGCGCTGGGCGGTGGGAGCCGGCACTACTCACATATCCTGCACCACTATGTACTGATGAGGCACGAGCCCATCAACGCCGTTGTGCCTTCCTTCCCACCAGTCGTCAGACGCGCGGTGATACAGCAGCAGGGAGGCACCCTTCTTGAAGGACAGCTCTCTGGCAGATCGCCCAACGTAGTCAAACTTGGCTATCGCCTCTATTGGCTCACATTCTACAAAGAACACACCAGAAAACGATGAGGGCCCAGAACTGTTAGGAAAGCATGAAACACTATGTCAAAGTTCCATATGAGGCCTTGGCAATAAACAAGGCCATTTCACTATCCAGACTGAACACGGTAATGAGCAAATTCATCAATGCAGCACAAAATAAGGCTGTTAAAAGGGATACAGAAAAACATTCTCTTGCTGTTGTCAGTTTTTCAGGCAAAGAAAAACTGAACATTGGATCTTAATTTCCACAGCCTCTTACCAGAGATATAACAACAGTCTAATAAAAATGATTTTAAGCTTTGCGACATGATCTATGAGATCTCTCCTTGGGCTGTAATATCCTCTACGATATCTCCAGTAGTATTTTGACAATGATGGAGCTCCCTTGTAACATGGTAATAACCATGGATGACACGGAAAACTCAGTGTCCCAGAACATGAGCGAGTTTATGCTTTATTTGCTTATTCAAAGAAAAATGAAGTTTATAAAAATCAGCACATTACATCTTATTTGAGTACATTTAGTTTCTTCCTGTACTTTTCTGGCATTATCACATCTTCCAAACCACCACCAATAGTAAAATAACTTTGTTTTCTCTACCATCAGTAACAAATTCTAGTTATCTTTGAAGCAAGCATAACTTAGACTGTCCTGTACCCAAATTAAGGGACCAGATTCAAATATTATACTATCCAGAGATCGAAAAAAAAATTTTTTTTATTTTTTATTATTAAAAAATTTTTTTTACATTTATTTATTTTTGAGAGACAGAGAGAGGCAGAGCACAAGTGGGAGAGTGGCACAAAGAGAGGGAGACATAGAATCCGAAGCAGACTCCAGGCTATGAGCTGTCAGCACAGAGCCCAACGCAGGGTTCAAACCCGTGAACCTTGAGATCATGACCTGAGCTGAAGTCGGACGCTTTAACCGACTAAGCCACCCAGGCATCCCCCAAAAACAATTTTTTTAAAGGTTTATCTATTTTGAGAGAAACAGAGACAATGCAAGTTGGGGAGGGGCAGAGAGAGAGGGAGACAGAGAATCCCAAACAGGCTTCATACTATTAGCACTGAGCCTGACATGGGACTCGAACTCATAAAACTGGGAGCTCATAATCTGAGCTGAAACCAAGAGTCGCTTAACTGACTGAGCTACTCAGGTGCCTCAATTACTCAGAGATCAAAAGATATTCAAGGGAATTATGGTGAGTGGGAAAAAAAAATCTCAAAAGGTTATATACTATATGATGCCATTTATACAGCATGTTTGAAATGACATAATAATCAAGATGCAGACTGGTCGTTGACAGAGGCTGGGAAGGAACGGCCATGGCTATAAAAGGGGAGCGCACAGACGAGTGCATGAAGAACTGGTGCAACATGATAATGGCAGATGGGCTGTGTCAATGTCAATTTCCTGGCTGCAGTATTATGCTGCAGTTATGTAAGATTTTGCCATGGAGGGAAGCTGGGAGGAGGGTACCTGGGGTCGTTCTGTAATATTTCTCACAATTAGATGTGAACCCACAATAATCTAAAAATAAAAAATTTTAAAAAAGTTATTGAGGTGCCTGGGTGGCTCAGTCAGTTAAGCGTCCGACCTCAGCTCAGGTCACGATCTCATGGTTTGTGGTTTCGAGCCCCGCGTCGGGCTCTGTGCTGACAGCTAGCTCAGAGCCTGGAGCCTGCTTCGAGTTCTGTGTCTCCCTCTCTCTCTCACCCTCCTCTGCTCACGCTGTCTCTCTCTCTCTTTCTCTCTCTCTCAGAAATAAATAAAACATTAAAAAAATAAATAAATAAAAGTTATTGAATTCTGGGCCTGGAATGGGAATTTCAGCCCTGATCTAATTCTGATCACAAAAGTTGAAGATAATTAAGAGGACAAACTAAATAAAACAATTACAAGAGATGTCTTCCGTCAGCTTTTGCAAAAAGCCCTTCAGTTCTGGGCTGTTTGACCTTTCCTCCTGTCTTCCCCATTCCCCGCTGTCTTTATTCCTGCTATCAACATCAGAGAAGGAAGTTTCTTTTTTTTTTTTTTTTTAATATTTTTATTTATTTCTAGGAGAGAGAGAGAGAGACAGCGTGAGCAGGGGAGGGTTAGAGAGAGTGTGTTTCATATTCTGAAAGAGGCTCCAGGCTCTGAGCTGGCAGTCAGCACAGAGCCCGACGCGGGGCTCGAACCCACGAACCACGAGATCATGACCTAAGCGAAAGTCGGACGCTTAACCGACTAAGCCACCCAGGCGCCCCAGGAAGTTTCTAATCAATAATACACAGAAAGGACCAACATAAGGCTAAATGTTTAGAGATCTGTATAAGCAACGAGCAATATGTCATTTACTATAAACTGAGCACGTGTTACTTTCGAAATACTCGAGAATATATGTACACATAATAGATTGAAACCTGTTCATCTGTCAAATACTTTCTCAGGAAACTGTCTTCTGTTTTGCTTGGTAATGAACCTTCCCACTTAAAACAGTTAATTTTTCCCCAAAGATTCCTAAAGTATCTTTACTCTCTTGCATGGAATAACTGCATAAGAAATCCTGGGGTAGTCAACTAAGCTTCTTTCTCACCTAATAAGTTCAAACATTCTCTGGGCCACATAAGGCACAAACATAAAAATCAAAAAACACATTGAAAAAGCTTAGGGTTTACCTTCTATGAAACAGCCTGACAAAGTTTAGCTGTACATTTAAAATAAAGACAAAAATCGCCCCATCTTTTTGCTAATGGTTAATGTTTAAAGGGAATAATATTTCATATGTCAGAATCACAGTGCTATGAATGCATGTAATATACTTCTCAGCAAAGTAGGTGTAAAAATAATTTTAAAACAACAGTTTAAGTCCTTTAACAACTGACTATAATTTTTTTTTAATTGTTTAATGTTTTTTATTTATTTCTAGGAGAGAGAGAGAGAGAGAGACAGCATGAGCAGGGGAGGGTCAGAGAGAGAGGGAGTCACAGACTCTGAAAGAGGCTCCAGGCTCTGAGCTGGCAGTCAGCACAGAGCCCGACGCGGGGCTCGAACCCACGAACTGTGAGATCATGACCTGAGTGAAAGCTGGACGCTTAACCGACTAAGCCACCCGGGCGCCCCACAACTGACTATAACTTTTAGATCGTATGTTAGCATGCTGGTATTCTCTCCTAAAATTATTTAAAAAATGTTTTTTTAATGTTTATTTATTTAGGAGAGGCAGAGATAGACAGAGTGTGAGCAAGGGAGGAGCAGAGACGGAGGGAGACAGAATCCGACGGAGGCTCTAGGCTCCGAGCTGTCAAAAGAGCCTGATGCAGGGCTCGAACCCACAGACTGTGATCAAGACCTAAGCTGAAGTTGGCGCTTAACTGACTGAGCCACCCAGGTGCCCCTATATTATTAAAACAATATGAATAGCAGCTTTATTAAATATCTACAAACCTGCTTCACAGAGAAGGGACTATATATTCAAAGAGACTGACTTTATAGTTTGTTCTAAAACTGCAGATAAAGAATAAGTCAGAGATGACAGATGCCAATTTTTTAACCCCCAGCTCTCCTTTAGGAACAGAAATAAACATGTGCATGGTGCAGGGGACATGAATAAACATATCCATGAAGGAAAGAAGACATGCCCATTTGTTAAAAAGAACTTTATGATATGTAGTTCTCAAATTCCTATGTAAACATGCCCCTGTAATTTGAATTTCATTTTACTGGAAAAAAAAAAAATACCAGCCCATAACATAGTGTACAGTTTATGTACCTGTCAGAGGGAAATGGAGAAAGAGCCATTAATGTTCTTTAGACATTAATTAGATATTAATTAGACATTCAGTCATCCACTGTCAATGCTGGCCAAGGTCTACTTTAGATTATTTAACAGATACATATGTATTTTATCATAATTTCATAATCATGCACTTAATGCTTGTCATCTCTTTTTATTTCTTGAAATAACTAGCAACAGGATTATCAGACTCTGTTTATTTAATTCAAATGTGGAGAGATTATGAAAGAATGACCAGATGAATCAGAAATACATTTTTATTGGTAATTCCGTATCCATTAGTAATTCTGAGCAATTTGATTATTTTGACTCTTTCTACTCCTCTGGGAGTCATTCCACAGTCAATGTCAATCAGTCAGCTACGTATACACCTCTTAGTCTACTTCTTGCAGAGCAAATCGATCTCAGGGCATGGCGGTGCACTGGATCCTTTCACAGAGAGCCACACAGTCCTCTAAGGCCCTGCAGAGACCCGGAAGAATGCTGCTGCTATTGGTAACAGTAAGAGTGAACATGGTAACTTCATTTTCTTGAATGGCTATTATAACCAGGCAAAGGGCGTAAAACTCAGTACAAATGATTTTTCTGACTGCCCAGTACTGTCAAGTCTTAGATTTCCATTTCTTGTCATTTTTTTAAAATGTTTTATTTATTTCTGAGAGAGAGAGCGTGAGCAGGGGAGGGTCAGAGACAGAGAGAGACACAGAATCTGAAACAGGCTCCAGGCTCTGAGTTAGCTATCAGCACAGAGCCTGACGCGGGGCTCAAACCCACGAACCGTGAGACCATGACCTGAGCTGAAGTCAGACACTTAACTGACTGAACCACCCAGGCGCCCCTTTTCTTGTCATTTTATACAAGATGCTAGTACATCACATTTTCTCTAGGGGACCTGCTGTCTCTGACACTTTCCCTTCTACCTCTGTTACCCACTGCCTTTGCAGGTGCTGGTTTTGTTCAATGATAGCCTCTCTTTCAGGAACAAAGCTATCCTTCTCTAGCGATATCATGATGGACAAAAGAAAATACAATACCCAGAGGATAAAAAAAATAATCAATACTCTAGTTAATTTAGTTACGGAACTTTACAGGTTGGCTTGTGGGCAAGGATAGCTGTCCTCTGTACGCAATGGTTTCCTTTCCAGCAAAATCAGGTATACATGGTTAAAACATTATCGAAAACACAGAGCCCCCGGTGAAGTTTTTCTTTTGTAGTC